CACTTAAAGAATTAAAGAGACCATTAAAAATCATCTCAGTCATTAATAGTTCATCGGCACCGTTCAGTTCACAAGCTACACGTCCTTTTAATTCTATTACGTCTGCCGATGTGCAATACGCCATTCTCCTTAAAACTCTCTTTCTACATTTGAGTTCGTCCATCTGAAGTATCGACTTAGCCTGCTTAAACTCTTCCTTGGCTTGCTTAAGTTGCGCAGCCAATTCTTCTTTATGCAAAAATTGTTCGTATAATTCATTTACGTTGGAATCCTATAAAAAATTATAGATTTTAAGAAATTCAGAGTTATCTTAAAATGGAATTAAAAGAAAAAAAAACATTGAAAAATTAGGATATTCCATATACTTAATAAAAATTGTTCAGAACATTTTAACGTAAGATATCTCATATATAAATATTTTAAGCACAAAAAATGTACTGCCAGAATCCTAGAATATAGAAACTGTCTCTTACCTTATGCAAAGAATGTGCATATAATCTTTTTTCTAATGCTTCAATCTTTTTCACAATATCTTTAAAAGCCTGATCCTCTATATGCATATCTGTAATAGGATTGAGTAATGGTAGACCATCCGGGAATCTTTTTTTCACTTCTCGTATTGTCTTCAATACACTTTTTCTATTATCAGGCGGTCTAAGATCTTTTGGATAATATAATCTTAGTGAGCTAATCTGTGAAATTAAATTATGCAAAACAGGGACTACTTCCATTTCGCCTTCTTCATCTTCGCGACATGGAATTGGATTGCCTTCTTTAGAGTTTTTCGATAAATAAAGTAAAACATCAATGATAATAACAGTCTTGCCTTTGACAGGATTTTTTGGATTTTTTTTCTTAAAATTCACTATGATTCCCCAATCAAACGTTTCGAGTTCATTTTTTACCTACAATAATAATAATGTATAACAAATAAATTTCGTTAAAATCCAGCCAAAAATGATTACTGCGTCAATTAAACTGTAAAAAATACGTACCTTTACTAATCTTCCAGGTTGTAAAAACGGTACCAAATACTCCGGTTGCGTTAGAAATGATTGAAACTCTTTGCTCAGTCGATTGAGTTGTTCACGTATGTCATGATACGAAGAAATCTCATCGTATCTATCCACGTTTACAGTACTGTAAGCGGTGCTTAATTCCTTTACCTCTGAAAATATAATCGAGATCAATGATTTATTTTCAACAATTGTGTTTAACCATTGAACTCCTATTTTGTAATTCTTTTAATGATAGTACTGATGTCATTACATTGTTATTGTGCAAGTAAATCTTTCTACATGGTAAAAAAAAAGCTATGTACAGTCGTTAAAGAATTTCAGAATAGGGGCTCTAACAAAATTAGAACGAGCTGTGATAACAACTTACTATTATACAAAACTGGAATACCAGCTTGATTCTGAAATTGAAAAAAGCTTCTTTCCAACATGTATTCTGGATTAATTTCTTCCACTCGTAAAAGATTAAGAACCATATTATAAGTCAAATGAAATGCGGAATTGATTGGATCCGGCTTTCCTTGAACGATAGCTTTACCAACGACGGGACTAACTTGCTCGTCTATCATTAATATGACAATCCCTTTGTCATCGAGACCTCTCCTGCCAGCACGACCGGACATCTGGATGTATTCACCCGACGTGATCCAACGAAAGTCCTTGCCATCGAATTTACGAGGTGTTGTAAACAAAACTGTCCGTGCTGGCATATTCAAGCCCATCGCAAATGTTTCAGTGGCAAAAAGAGCTTTAATTAAACCTTCACCAAATAATATCTCGACTGTCTCCTTCAAGATTGGCAAGAGTCCACCGTGATGAATTCCTATTCCACGCCGCAAAAGTGGCAACAAATTTGTAACTTGCGGTAACTTTTTATCCTCGTCGTTGAGGACGTCTACCGCGTTGTTAAAAACCTCATCTACCAGTTTTTTCTCTTCTAGCGTGTTTAAATCTAGTTTAGCCATCTGCATTGCATAAACCTCACAATCTTTTTTCGAAAAGTTAAAGATTATCACGGGCGCGAAGTTTCTCTCCATGATCATTTTTACCATCTTGAAAATATTTGTTTGTCCGTTGTTTGTGGCGCGCAGACCACCTTTGCGTCCTTTCTTGTCACCTTTAGCTGCGTCACCCGTACTTTGCAGGCATGCCATGGCTCTGTTAAAATTATCCTCTTTAAATTGACCCATTTCATCTACAACCTGTTTTAAAACAAGTAACTTTAGTATGTATGAATAGACGGTACATTTTTCTTTTTCGTCAAACAAGCCTCTTCATTATAGATTATCACTAACCAGATGTATACCGTCGCCACCAACTGGAAATATATAATGTTGCAACGGAGTAGGTCTATAGTCAGTAGAGACTACATGGCAAGGTTGATGATGCAAATGTACCACCCACTCTGCGAATTGTCTTGCGTTTGGTATAGTAGCAGAAAGAAATACATAGTGCACATTGTCTGGCAGCAATATAAGTGTCTCCTCCCAAACTACACCTCTTTCTTTGTCACGCATATAATGAATCTCATCGAAAATTACCCAACCAACTTCACGCATTACCTGTATAATAAATATTGTATCAATTATACACTTTCATATTCTTCTTCCTATATAGAATATTTTATACAATCTTTAATATTTTATTAAGTAAATATTGATCCTTATATTAACTAAATAATTTTCTACTAGAGACATTAATGTCATGTTTATGGAAAATATTTGTTTATATTTGTTATTAATATTACATTTTATTTCATAATAAATTGCAAGATAGAATAAAATAAATAATAATAAAACAAACCTCTGAGCCCCTATAGAGCATATTTCGCAAAATTTCAGTAGTCATGATTAATACACTCGCTGTTGGATTTATAGTAACATCGCCCGTTACTAGACCAACGTCCTTAAATTCCTCATAAAATTCTCTATATTTCTGATTACTCAACGCTTTAATTGGAGTAGTATATATTACTCTTTGCTTATCTTTAAGCGAACATGCTATTGCATATCTGTATGATACATATAAGATAGTAGAATAAAATCATTTTGAAAACATTGTTTAGAAAAAGTAATCTCTAAAATATGAAATATTTACTCAGCCACGACAGTTTTGCCAGCAGATGTATGTGCAGAGACAAGAACTGACTGATTGTTTTCAATACATAAAATTGCTTCCTTTTGAAATGGATCCAGTATGAATTTATACTCTTTAGCTGGTTTGCCCTGTTGACGCTCCAAAGGTATATACTCTTGATCAGGAGGAATAGCAATCTCATGCATACAAGATTCCACGGTTTCTATAGTATGCACTGTTATACGACATGTCACTTCCTCTAAACTAAAGAAATAATGTTGTGTATGTAGTTATACATATATTGTTCTATAATACAATTATGAAATAAACATAGATAAGTATACACGTTATCAATTATATTAATACTAATAATGTCAACCACTATTTTATTTAAATATTCTGATCAACATAACGTAAAGTTTTACTTGATATCATTCAAAACAGAATCGTGTCGCAATTTTTTTATGGCTGCTTTGTCATCATTTTCGTCCAATTGTCGCTTTATTCCTATCTCCGGTTTGATTTTCCTGCAGTTTATTATAAATAAGTATTCCCCGCAGTCACATACATGAGGTTCATTTATATATATATATATATATATAATTACAAACTTTGGACTGTCCAGTATTTCTATATCATCGCCATGCTCATCAAAAACATCAAACAAATCTTCGCTAAAATTCGCCATTATTCACTTAAAAAATTATTATTTCAATACTTTAATTAACAAAAATTACATGACACATGCCTTTACTTGCATCCAGGTAAGTATATAACGTATATAGGTGAATTTCGATCAATGACTGAATTTAAGTCGGTAAAGTAGAAGGCTCGCTTACCGAACAATTGAACATGATTGGACAGAAATCGAGAACAAATAGGTGCATTTAACCGCTCACTGAGAGCTCTTTCATCTGATTGGCAGATTCCATTAGATTCTAAAATATAGACCAATCAGATGAAAGAGCTCACTGAGCGCTCAGTGAGCGGTTGTCGTTCTAAATGCATCCGATACGTGTCGCTGATATGCCGCAAATTTTAAAATAAACTTTTTGCGATTTGAAATGAGAGAGAGAGAAGATATTTCAATTAAATAAATCCCTTTATTTTTTTCCCATTCAAAATATTTTATTCCTTAATTTTTAAATTTATATTCCCTAATCGGATATATGTCCTAGTCCTTAATTAAACCATACATTACTGATCGTGGAAATAATATGTATCTTCATTTATTCATGGAATAATGCGCTCCAGTGACCTTGCCAAATATTCCAAATATTCTTTATTGAAATTTTTGTCATAAAAAATTTAAGAAATTTCTTTTCCATTTTTTTTTATAACAGTTTGGGAAACCTCAGAATAAATGTCGGTAAACACAATAATCAGTACGTGCTATTCACTGAAAAGCTGCATTTTCATGCAGACTGAATGAATAGCAAAATCGATGTATGTATACAATACGACGTAAACAGCAACGCATAGATAAAAAGATATAAGAAATTAGCGCATAAGTGTAAGTAAGAAATGTAATCAGTGACAGGTTTTAGCGGTGTGGAAGAATATAAGTATAATTAAGGTAACTATTGTAATTTATAAATCAAGTCCTTTCTTGGCAATGCAAGCTAAAATAATTAAGCTATATTTTATTATTTGTGTCAATTATGTAATATTATAAAAGATTAAAATATATATATCAGAAGATTTTATCAATATAAGCTTCTTTAGGCTATTAATAAAATGAATATATTATAAAATTATTAAAAAATATTAGAAATAATTAAAAATAGATGAATCACAAGATGGTAATAAAATAGATAAAAATAATTATAAAAAGTCATGTAGGTATAAATGTAGGTTTTGTATTACATTTCGATTTTATGATTAATTGGATCAATGGTCATATCATGTCTACTGAGTTGTGTAATAAAATTGCTTTATGGCATCGTCTGTGGCCTTCTTAAGTAATTCCTTACGTTGTTCTATTAGTTTTTGAACTATAGATGAAGTATTTGAAGGTAGATTGAAATTAGTTGAGAATGTTTGTATCTGAAACAAAGACATTCGAAATATTGAATAACAATTTATATTTATGTAGCAATTTCATAAAATATATAATTTTTAATTTATTGAATCATATTAATTTTCAAATTTAATATATGATATTAAAATAAGTATAGCATGTATAAAATAAGTATAGTGTGTATAAATATATTTTACATCTTATAGCAGCGAGTATAAACAGGGTGTCCCATAACTTTTAATTAATATGAAATTATGAACAAAAAGTTTTGCCAATTTTGGTTCAGACCATTATTTACCGTGTTATTAATAGTCGCGTTCAGCAGATTCAACTGTTGCGGAGTAGATCCGTGAGCGATTGCTGTTAAGTTGAATGACCTAAAAGAACACACCAATAGCACTCACGGATACGCTCCGCAACAGTTGATTCAATCAATTTTTACAGTTGATCATTCAGATAGGACTCCAGAGAGTATACAGAGGCGTAGTATGCCATGGGACTTCTCGAACTTATTATTGCGTTCTCCTGATTGAAATTTTATTTTAATTTATCGTATTAATAAATAAATAAATAATTATAAATGGAATAAAATATAATAAAGAAATCAAATAAAATAAAATAGATAAATGAAATAAATAAATAAAAGAAAATAATAAAGTTTGATATGAAATATATCTATCTCAAATAAAATCAGACTAATGCGGTGATCAACAATTAATATTAAAGAAATACAACCAATAAGAAACTGTCTTTAACGGTTGAACTGGATCTTTGGTGCTATTATAATTCTGTATGAATTTGTATACCATGTATGTATATTATAGTCTTTTAAACTGCACGCTGAACAATTTTTCGGTCTTCAAACGCAACTATACGAAACTACCGTAATAATATATCACGAGTTAAACCGTCTTAACAATTTAACAATTTTTGATGTTTTTTACGCATCTTAAATCGATCTTAATAATATTGAGTGATAAATTAAAATCTGTAAATAATTAATTTTTATAAAAAATGAATATTAAGTTATTGAAATCATATCTTGAATACATCAAATAAAATAAAGGAAGTGGTCAATAAACGATCTTGGCTAAGTCTTAGTACTCAATAATGTTCTTATATATATCTTTTCAGTTCTTTTTCAAACTGTGCATCGAATTGTATAATAGTTGAACTTGCAACGTAATGTCAATAACTGAAATAAAAATCTGTTGATCGACACATTTTAATGCCTGATTTTATGTTATTTATTTTATTTTATTTATCTAGATATTTTATTTTATATCAGACTTCATTTTTTTCTATTTATTTATGTTATTTTTACTGCATTTATTTATTTGTTTATCTATATTTATTAACTTATTTATTTATTTATTTTTTTATGAAAAATTAGAATGTGAAATTTCTCAATCGGGGGAACGCATAACTCAAGTAGTTCCATGCCACGCTCCCGCATATACTCTTATAATGGTCTGAGCCAAAATTGATAAAAAAAACTTCATAATTTTATTCTATTTTATGTTCCCTGAAATATTAATTAAGAGTTATGAGACACCTTCTATACGCTGTAAAAATATTGTTTTCTATTTGAGGAAGACATCCTCGTGAATCAATTATAATTATTAATTTGTGTAGATAATTTTCTAGGGTAAAATCTTTTTTGAAGTTATTTTTAATTAAATCGTAAATCTTAACTCATGATGTAGTATTAAAACAAAGATTTTGTTTATATTTTTAAGCACTGATATTAAATCAGTTTTGCAATATAGTTATCCTCAAAAGTAAAATATTACGATATAAATATTTAAACACCTGATTAATTATTAACATTAATTTCATTATGTAAAATTAATTTACAATTCCATATGATGAGCAGGTTTTATTTCAAGCGCACCATAAAAATAAAGTAATATTTTCACTAATATTGCAATAACATCGCAACGTAAAAATGTTGTTGCAAGATTCTGTGCTGTTTGAACTAATGCACTATACATAGTTAATATAAAATTAATAAGTATATGAATCTCCAGAATCATAAAATTTACCTTATCAACTTGTTCGTTTACATAAACATTCTGAAGAATAAGTTTTAACACTGCAGGTATAGTAAGTGGTCTAAAAACAAGAAATCCTTATTAATAAATGTTTACAAGTAAGCAAAAATATAATATGCATTTTTTTATAAATGTCAATATTATTACATCGGTTTTAAAATCATAAAATTGTTTAATATATAGTCGAGAATTATATCATTGTTCACATGCTTCCTAATAATAAAATTGAAAATGAATGAATGATCTGTATTGGGAAATAATGAAGTGTTCCTTGCTGCCATATTTAAATAATCTTTAACGATATTAGGATTTTCAGCGCAACTCAAACCCCACAATAATCTTTTATCATAATCTTGTTCTTTTAAATGTATTTCTTTGTTTAGATATAATTCCAACATTTTATCCCAAGTAGTTCTACTGGCTGTCATCATACCAGTACAATACATAAATGATGGAATTCTAAAAAAAGTAAATATATGTATACATATTATATATTATATATATATATACATATATTATATATTAGGAAGAAGTACATGCATTTTATACCTACAGCCGATTATCTATAATTTCATTAGATTACATATTTTTTTATTTTTAAGGAAAATGCATAGGTATAATATCTTTCGTCAATTTGTTATTATATTTTGGCTTATATACAACGGCATATTTAGTCTGTCATTATATTAAAATAAAAATAGATTTTCAGAAGAAAAAGTAAGAATGATGTTTGATTTCGAAAATTTAAAGAAATAAAAAATTGACTGTAACGTATTCATGCATATATATACATATATATGCACGCGTGTGCACGTACTTATTATAAATACAATTTATAGGATAATCATAAGTATATGAAACATACTTGTGAATTTCATGGTTAGCAAGATATTCACTTAATTTAAGTGCGCTCATTTTCTTACATTCCTCATGACCAAAAAAACATGCCATTTGTAAAGCGTACAGCCTTGTCAATTTTGTAATGTGGTCATCATTAGGATCTTCTACATATCCTACATATCGAAAAAGCCTATCGAAAAGTTGTTCGAAGCGTATCTAAAAAATTATGAAGTAATGTATTAGTTTTTTGATAAACTTGTGATATATACAAAAAACTAATCTTTTTGCGAAAAGGCTAAAGTAAACTACCCACTGTTTTGCATCAAGACTAGCTTTTTTGCAAAAAAGCTAATTTTGCAAAGACTGTGACATAATATTGATTAAAAAAATTCGTTGATTTTATAAAAATGCGACCAATTATAATACTATTATACTGTAGCCCGAAAAAAGTTAGACTAGTGCAATACACTATAATTTCAATTGTTTGTACACTACCTTGATATGTTTGACCTCGGGCAATACAAAAACATTATTTTGTATAATGTAGACCAATGACTGCCATGCTATGTAATCTTTGTCTTTAAAGAGATAGCTTATCAACTGAATGAATATGTATCCATTTATTCGATCATCCAATACCATGATAAACGAATCAATAATGATTTGAACACGATTAAGAACGTGTATATTTGTATATTTTATACTATTTAAATAGTTTAAAATTTTATACCAATTCGTGGTATCGTAACTAACACGATAGTATCCTGTGTGTAATATTCGTTATATGTATTACTAGATTGAATTTATCAAAATATATCTTAAAACGCCTATATATATACATATATTGTATAGTCTGTCTTTTCTTAATATAACACCAAATGTATTTTTTTTATATACAAATATTATTATATAATAAAGTATAAAATATATAATAAAGTTTAAAATATATGATAAAGTTTAAAATATAAGTATAAAATATATAATAAATATAATATTAAAAATTAAAGCATAAGACGTATTAAAGACTTGTTGAAAAAAATGTCATTAAAACGTCTTTTAGATATCTTTATTAAGATATTTTATTTTTCGTTTCTGAACATGCGTGTTATCTAGATTATTTTATGTTAATTAATATTTGGCAAAGATTTAAAGAATTTAATTGTTTAAATCTTTGTTAAGCTTTTACAAATAAAAATGCATCAAATTAAATGACGTAGAACTTTCGTGATGATAGAATAAATGAATATAATAATTAAATTAATGAAAACACGTAAATATATTTATCCATATTTACCAGTTAGTTGTAAATTGACAATAATCCAATCATTTGGATTAATTATAAAGCTTATATTATGTTGATCTGGTCGTAACCAATAACGAGGTACAGTATTGGAAAAATCCAAATTGGACTGCGTAGCGAAAGTTATAGGAATCCACCATTTAGTAGTTTTCATCTCTGTCTCACCATGTTGCCGGACACATGATTGTGATATTGTCACTTCGCCAGTTTCATAATTTCGCTCTACGTGTACAAAGGGATAACGCTCTTGGTTCATCCAAGTATCCATCACTTCTTTTATTCTATAACCTTCGTGTGGGACATCAGATTCATCCAGAGCACTTTGCATGGCGCTCCATAAATCATCTGGTGTAGCTGTGCTAAATTGACTTTCGAAAAATGACTATTATCAATAAAGATTGTAAAATGTAAATTAATTATTAATTAATATATGCAAATATTAATTGTGCAAATAAATTTATAAATATATATATTCTACAGATATATATTTATGTATAAATTTAAAAAAATATAACTTTCTTTTTAAATCTCTCAGAGTAAAAATTGAATCAATTTTGAAAAAAGTGAGAATATTTTCATCCTTGAAAAAGAATAATAGATTTTAAATTCACTCTTTTGGAATAAGATCCCTTCTAAACAATGAAATATTATTCCAAAAAAGGAAGTGAAATTTCATTCATTTAGAGTGAATCTTATTTCAATCGAAATTGACTCCAAAATTTGACTCCAAAAAAATGAAACTTTTCCAATTTTTTTCAATAATGAAAATATTTTTATTCTTTTTCAAAGACAGGTTCAATTTTCAATTTTTTAAAGTTTTACAAGATATTGTTCTAAGAAATTTAGAAAATAAGATTAATTTAAAAAATATATTTAATAAATTAAATTGTAATTAAATAGAGTAAAATATATGGCTTACAATTGAATAATAATATGATATTGAGTATACCTAAGTTCATATTTCTAAAATATTATATTTTTTAACATGAATTCAAGAAATTTTATTTATATAATTTTACATATAATATATTATAATTATATAATAAATTCATAATGTATGTATTCTACATATGTTCATATCTGTTGTATATATTGTTTATATATTATATATAAATATAATATTATATTATATATTAGACAACATTATACACACTTACTGCGTGGCCAAATACGTAATGAGACCCTTTCGAAATACTTCAGCGGTAATTGTATTATGTAACATGCGCAATAAAACTGGCGCTACAATGTATAATACACCATAAAATATATATTAACAATACATTTTAAAGTACATAGATAATTAATATATACTATACATGAAGATACATTGCGCTAACGAAATATTTGTTTTCCGATAGCTTTCTGTTTTATCATTTTCTTTATGCTACACATTAAAATTAAAGAATCTGTAAACAGTTAATAGTTTAATTTTATTTTCATTATCTTACCTTTTTTATAAACTTCAGTAGAAAACAGCGATTTTTCATCAAGAGTGTTGCCAATCTTCAATGTGACAGAATTCAATAAACCTGTATCTTTGAGAAAGCATTGTTGCATGGTCTGAATTACAAATAGATCCATTCTCCGCCAATCTTTGAAAATCTGAAGAAAAAAAATGCTTTGACCAGATTAAATATAAAACATTCGAAGAAAAGCTCGTATTATAAAAATAATTAATTCATTTGTCACTTCCTAAAACAATACTAGTTTACATTTTATAACACGTAGGTTGTATTAATCTTTCGCTAAACTTTTTACAAGAAGAGAGAGCAGTGTCTCATTTAATTATTTTTAAAAATATTGGAAATAATTTAATATAAAGATGACATTATTTAATATCAAAACAAAATCAAAATACAAAATATATTGTATTTATTATTTATTTTATTAAATACTGAATATGGCGGAAGAAAAGAATCAAATATTTACGAATTTTAATGAAGTATTATATAATGTTCTTATACGACTTCTACATATAAAAATGATCAAATATAAAAAAAATAAAAATAGCAAGTCTTCATAAGATATAATAATATGAAGAATAAAATATTAATTTTCAATAAAAATTTATAGTTTTATAATTATTCGTAAAAAAACGCATTACAAACTTTTTTATGACTTTGAATTAAAACATCTATCTTTCTCTCTCTCTTTCTATCATTCAGATGTATACGCAGAGCTACGTTAAATGAAAATATAGTATTTTTATGTATGTATTTGTATTTTGAATTAATACTATTTTTTTTAATCTTAAATTAAAATGTATTTCAAATGATTTTTTCAATAAGCAACTTTATACATTACATATATATAGAATGTATACATAATTGTATACTATATACACACACACACACAGACATATATATATATATATAATAATATTTAATAACCTTGTCGATTGTGTATGATTCGAAAAATGAAGCAAATCCCTCGCTTAGCCAAAGATAAGGCCACCAAGATGGAGTGACTAAATTGCCAAACCATTGATGTGCAAGTTCATGTGCTACTACCAACGCTGCTTCTGTTTTCTGATATATTGGATCGCTGTTATCGTAGATAATTCCTGATTCTCTAAAAGATAAAACATAATATAATTATATAAAATGTTCCTGAATTTTTTTTTTTTTGCAGTCTAGTATGTATGTATATACTCTAATGAATAATTACATAATTCTTTGTCTTACACGAATAATTCACGAGAGAACGCAATCGTCACAACCAACTGTTCTTCTCAAATTTTAATAAATTTTGAATATGTTAAAATATAAACCAAAAGAAAAGAGAAGATTTTTTTCGATAAATGTTGAACATAACGGACCTATTTTCGATAATCTTAATCTCGATATACGAGTACATACTAATATTGTCAAGGTCATGGTCTTGAGTGATCTTCGGAAGGTTTTAGCCCGCGCTCATTATTATTTTAAAAGCTTTTTACAGATAAAGTTATAAATTAATTTGTTTAAAATTATTTTGTTAAAAACTTTTTAATGAATAACCAGCACGGATTTAAAATTTTCCGAGAATCACTCAGGGCTATGACCGTAATAATATATGTCAATAAAGTTATGGTTGTCGGAGGTGGGTTCGTAAGAAAATGAAAAAATTTATTAAATTATTATGTATAAAGTACTTTACTGAAACTATTGACGAATTATCACTCAAAACACTTTTTCTATTTTTCACAATTTAAATTTATACTTTGAACGAGAAAATCAACCTTTTTTAAAGGATTTCACACTTTTAAAGTGCGACTTACAAGTACTTACAAAAAAAAAAACAAAGTGTCCTTTTTTAGCTTATATTTTAATATGACTAAAGCTTATGAAAGTCAAAAGAGAACAGTCATTCCTCTGTTAGACGTTAGAAATTTTTTTATTTGTATATATACTCGAATAATATATGTATATATATGTGTATATATATATATATATATTCATATAAGAGAGGAAAAAGAAAAGGTGTAATGGATTAAACACATTAATAATTATTCAAGACTACAATATTCGTTTAAATATGAAAACATTATTTGGATATATATTCTGTAAAAACGTTTATGTTTTCTAAATTTCAAATGCTAAATTTGTAGTATTGGATAGATTTAAATCTTAACAAACTTCTTTTAAATTATATATATTACCGATAAGTGATAAGTCCCCAATTTTCCATACCACCAACCACAAAATTAGGTATCAATATGTGGTCCATTTTCGGTACTTTCTGGGAACTATTGGTATATTCAATCAAGAACTCCACGACCTTTTCAGCGACACTATGTGAGAACGTTACTTTCGAAGTCAAAGACGATTTGCACCACATATTGATGGTTTCGTTTGCGTTAGGAACGCGGACAAATTCAGACATCGCAATCGCTACGATATAAGTAGACATTAAAGGTGTGGTGTGGAAGTTTGTCCGCAACATGCCATCTTGTTCCAAAAATTGTTCTCGTATTGGCATATTCGATAATACACCATACTTCTGACTGTGTTTTACGGAGATATCAAAGGTGGCTTTTAATGCTGGTTCATCCCAACATGGAAGCATTAGTCTGGCACCATTCGGTTCGAAATTTGTTACGGCCAACCATTTACTATTTAAAAAAATGTTTTAAATGATGACAAACTCACTTATGTTAGATAATATGAGAATTTAAAGGACTTTTTGTTAGTTACTGTCTATTGTTATCTACTGTATTTGATAAAAATTTTGTTAAAAGTAAGAATCGAAATGCTGAACAGTCATGTCATCTTTATTTAAAATTGAATTTGATGCACTATGCACGTATTTTATATTTATATTATATTTACTGAAAAACGTTTTATGTGTGACAATAAGATAAAAGCAAAAAAAGCTGTTAATAAAAAACGTTTACGTTACAAATTTGTATTTTGTATTTTAACATATATACATATATATTTACTTACGTGTTATTTTCTTTGTCGTTTATGTATGAAAATTTAATAAAACCTCTTCGTTGAGATACAGGTAATAAATTACCGGCAAATTCCATGTGCAGGATGTACGGACCGGGCGTTATTATACCAATAAAAATAATTGACAAAATGTTGGTTTGATTGTCATGAATATGTTTTAACGGTCTATAAGTAGTATCTTTGTCCTTAATCACTTTTGTCGCTGTTTCATTTATTTTTAATTCTCTTGAGTGTAAGCTTATTGTTGACGTTATATAACGAATCTTGATTTTAACATTGGATTCACCGTAAAAAGTAAAATTGCCTTCTTCAAGATACGGTGTTATGTTAATGTCATAGTGGACTGGTATGGTATTGTTAGGTAAACGATCAATAATTTTTACGTTATTACCGAGAGAAGAAATTGTTCTTGTGGCTAATATTAAACCAATATTTAATAACAACTTTAGAATTATCATATTGAATCCCTCTTTATTTTATCTGTGATTTTTTGTTAAAAAAAAACGAATACGATATTATATAAAAATACCTGAAGTTATATTTGAAGTTTAAATTGAAAATCTAAAGTCTCTTATTATTAATTTTTATATAAATATAGAATTAATAAAAAAAAAATTTTTCATTTTTTATTAAAAAATTGTATATAAGACTTATTTTGAAAAAAATATTAATATCTTTTTATATTCGATATTCTGTACATTTTAATGTACTCATGTTTATAATTAATTTTGTTATTTTTATATTTTCATAAAATCCTTTCTTAAAGCATCATAATAAAAGATTAATTTATTAAATTTGAAAAATTTATTTAATTTTAGATATCTAAGAAGTGTATTTACATTTGGCTGCATAGAATATATTTACTACCAAAAAAATATATACGTATATAACGTTGATATAGAAAAAAAGAGTACAACATGTTCCACATTCAACATGTTTCATATTCAATATGTTTCAAATTCAATAATTTTATTGCTTTATTTTCTCATGTATTTTTTCATGGTAACCGCAAATTATTATAATAATAATGTAACTCAGGAAAAAATTGGTACATTGAAATAATGAATAACGTCTTTGTTCACATTACGAAGTCGCTGTTGGTTATGCTGTTATCATTTAAAAAGCAATTCAAAATTAAGCCAACAACTCTGAATTCGTTTTTAAATAATTGAAGCATAATTGACTGTGATTTCATAACAATGCAGTGAATAAGGACCTTTTTCAAGGACCTTTACAAATGTAATGATACCGAGATTTTGGTTGCAAAAATATTTATTAAACTCTCCTTTACTTATGCGTTGTTTTTAGAAATATTTGTTTTACGTCGTATATTTTTCTAAGCAACAAGGGAAATGAACATCTTACGAATTATTACTATTTTTAACTACTTACTTTATTATCTATATGCAGATTAACATGCAGTTGATTCGTAATTGATTAATTTTTAGTTAATTACAGTTAATTAATTATAATTATAAATTTATTATCACAAAGGTTTGATATCAAAGTTATATCAGCACGATTGCATTGTCATCTTGCCGTCTCGAAAGATTCTTGAATACTGAATATAATATCAATGTCTATAATATTATTACATGTTATCTAAATAAGCTGTAAGGTCATGTCAAAAAAGATGTCCTAGACTTATTCAATCCTTGAGTTATAAACAATTGCAAATAAGAATCTTTTTATAGAGAAGCTAAATAAATATAACAAACATTTATTAAACGTTAAAGGCAACATGCAATCATACAGTATTACGACATATAGTTTCTTTTATGTAATATATAAAAGATAGTATATACATAATATATGGTATGTACATATACTTAACTTATAAAAATATTTATACAGTAATTGTAGTTATACAAATAAATCGTATATAACCTATTATTAATCGCAAGAGATGATAAATTGTATACATATGTCATCATAATTTTAAATTTGTATTACTAGAAATTATTAATAAAAACAAAATATTATAGAAATATTAAAAGATAGCATAAAATCAATAATAATTTTAATATTTTGAGAAATATAAAGATAGATAAAAAAAAAATTTTAATCTTAAATAATAAAAATGTAACAAAATGTTGGATTATTCATTTAATATTCTTTTTCATCCTTTATTGCTCCACAAAAATAGTCAAGTTTTTCAGAGCAATTATTTATCAGTTTATGACGAGTACATAATTGCAATACAACTCATGAAATTATTTACTTCAACATTATTTTGAAATTCTTTTATTTTATTAGGAGTACAAATTAGTTCGGTCCGTTTTCCAAAAATGCCTCCAAAAACAAATTATTTTTTCGAGATGGAATTCGAAAATTGCCTGAGAGATGGGAAAAAGTAGTAACCAGCGATGGACAATACTTTAATTAATCTGTTCATTCATTTTGTTTTGAAATAAATGCATTTTTGAATACAAAAACGGACCGAACTAATTTGTACACCTAATAATCAAATATGTTATTTTTGTGTAATTCACACAATATCAAAATAATTTTAATAATTGTAAAAAACAGTAAAAATTAAATAGGCTACGTGTCTAAGCTAGGATGTCAGATGGTCTTTAACATAAACGAATTTAATTTTTAATAATTGTGATAAATTAATGTACGCACATACATGCACAAAAAAGTACATTTAATGAAGTTCTATTAACTACATGAAATCTGTGATCACACAAAACATATATGTCAAATTGATCTTTATTATATTATTATAGAAATAATATTTTTTAACAATTTACTCGTAGTGAATGATCTAGAAAAGCGAAATAAAATATTTATATTTGATATATACAAGGTGAAGCATCTAAAACGATCCACCTATAATAATTAGCTTGTTTTTGATGATACGAAAAAATATACCTTACTCTGTTAATGTTTATTAATATTTATCTAATAAAAGATTACAAATTTACAAAATGAACAAAATAAATAAACAATATTTTAAAAGAGTAACACTATTATAGCACTAATGCATTGTTTAATTATCCTCAATGTCGGCTTTAGCAATCAAGACAAACAGGAAGTGATAACAGGAAATACTTATAAATGTGACATACCATAAATAATGCAATATACATATGTATATTACATAAGTTGTTTAATCACATTCAGCTCATCATTTTTTCATTCATGTCATCCTCGCAAACTATTAAACTTGTTTTAAAATTTTCTAAATATAACATTGTTAAATATGATTTATCACTTTCGGAATGAATAGGTTTCATTTCTAATCGAATATTGCTGAGAGCTCAAAACGTTGATCAAAAGGATTCGTTTGATTACAGATAAACGTCCAAATATGCGTTTACGCAATGCCTGTACTGGATTTAATATTTTTTCTCAATACAAATCCTTTCTTCGAAAGTGGTTGGCGGTTCCACATACTGCCGGATGACCTTTAATTTTCATACAATTGATGGAATTAAAATGCGGAAAAAATAGTTTATGAAAACGGTTTCCAACAGATAATAATAATTTTTAAAGTAGGTATGCTATAGCATTTCCGGTCTATTGCGTTAATAATCATTGTTCACATAATGCCTGTAGGTTGCTTTAAATAAAATCAATATTGTTTTCAAAAAAGCTACATGATGATAATTAAAGGGAAACTTGTGTGTGTCAAGCACCTATTTTTTTTATTATAACAGTACCCAAGATCCAGTTTTTTTGATCGCTCATTATGGTTTTAATTCTCACAGTTGTGTGTTTAATCACATTCAGTTCATCATTTTTTTTTCATCCGCGCAATCTATGGTATCAAATTTTCTAAATATGATGTTGTGATTGATTTATCAACTACATCATTTATCAAATTCGGATTAAAGTTCTGGGTATCGATTATTGAAACCTTTTCCCTAGGATGAAAAATGAAAAGTGAAAATTTTTACCATTTTCACTTTTCATTTTCCATCCTAGGGAAAAAGTTTTATGATCGATACCCTGAGATCGCATTGATCGGAACTCCCCACGTAATTCTCCCCACATTCAATCGCCCAAGATTGCACGCACGGTGTAGTATCGGTAGTAGAAAGTGATGGCGGTGTCGTAACGGTTTTACTCGAAACGAAGAACGGGACTAATGCTTTCTTGTCGTCTCATTAGGTCTGTTCGCGTTGCTTGCACTTTTTGCACTTACCACCTTCGTTTTCTCTCTTTTTAACGCCGAATATATATCTATCTCATTTAAAGTGCAAAATTATTTGGGGATTTCATGCAACGCGAACAGACATATTATCAGCATCATTATTACCTCGTTCTTTTGTTGATTAATAATTTTTTTTAGGTTGACTGCATTAAAAATAAGATCAAGTAGGTAATCGTTATCAATAAAAATTATAATTATGAGTTCAATATTCTTTTTATGATATTTCGGATGCGACAACAAGAAGGTCATATCCACCTTATAAAGAATTACATCTTTCTTCTATGTATGTCAATGGATGAAGAGAATGAAAGTTGAAAAACCTTGGTTTATGAAACCAATAAAATCTTTAATTGTAACATCTAGCTCATTATCACCGATTTCTAATGTGAATTGCACTTTTGCATGCAACAAGTTGAAAATTTCAAATCTATCGATTCATATGGAACAGCTTTTGTCCACATATTAAGAAACATATCTTAAAAAGATCATTCAACTCCCAATCTCTTCAATGCACTGATTTCCAAATATTCAAGCACTAAATGAGCTTTGATGGTAGATAGCGCCAAATCCATGGGGGTCCCAAATGTCTGTTTATATGTATATAGAGAGTAGAATTTCAAAATACGTTTTATCCAAAATTTATAATTTTCAAAAAATCAGAAAGAAATTCACAAGAAAACCTTACAAAAAATAACAATTCGTTAATCAGCAAGGTGTAAAATTTCTCAACAAAATTGTAAAACAGTTGCCGAAAATATTAAAAAAATACATTTTATCCCTCTGTAATTTAAGGACATAACGAACTTCAAATGTCAAGACTTTTTTTAGTACATAAATTCAAGGGGTGGAAATTCTTTCAAAACGACATAGGGTAGCTTAAAATATGTGTAGGGTAAACCCGGCATATACGCCGCACCTATCAAAAACTTAATTTATCAATTATTATTTACTATGTTTAAAGCAAATTAAATGTACAAATAAAAACTTTGTATCTACTACTGTAAAAAAAAATATTAGAAATCCAAAATAATTAATTTTCTATATTAAAAAATAACTTTTTCAAACCCCTGCATTTTTGCCATTTATCCCATAGGGGGGGGGGGGAGGGGGGTAATATAGCCACTCATATATAATTCATAAGAAAATCACAAATAATCTATAAATAAAATTTAAAATGACGACGTAACTTGCATTTGTTTATTAATGTATGACAATTTTTATTGTTCAGAATGAAAATTGGAATACAAATAGGACTTAATAAAATTTTTTTATATGACTTCAAATCTTTGAAAATAATTTTTAAACGTTTAAGATTTATCAACATTTATGTATTATATATAATGCAAAATATAATTGTTAAAATTAATAAAAACTTCTTAAATAGAGCGTCTGTGCTGCGGCATAGCATCCCGCTCGCTAAAAATGCTGTATATCTCAAATAGATGGGATATATAAAACAACTAATTAAACAATACAGGAGCAATGCACTTGTATTTTGCTATACATTTAGGTTATAGCATGCAAAAACAGCACTAGCTTCTTACGCGCGTCTTCTTTACTATACTGAATGCTACTGATTGTGAGTTCTCATTGGTTGAGAGTAAGAGAGTAGACGTAAGAAATGGATTTCAACCATTTCGCTTACGGACTTACTCTACGCCCTATAATACCGAAAAACCAGCTTACTGCGACGTCTTACTGCTTCATCCACTACTATTATGGCCCATTGTAGACCACGCATAAAGGGCCCGCGACTTCAATAACTGTACTGTTGCAAGGGGGGGCTTCGACTTTCCACGCAGAGCGACTCTCACCTCCTCTCTCTTCCTGTTTAAAAATGTACGATTTCCATACTTGTACTTTTGCATGTGAGTTTCGACTTTGTGCAACGATATTCATAGAAGTTGTGTGTTCTTAAAGCAAGGGGAAAGGTGGGTCCTAATTAAAATCGTAGCATGTGGACCTTGAGGCTTTAGCGTCGCCACTCCCTTGAAAAACCACCAAGGGATGAGAACCAATCTCGTTAGAAGATATCAAAGAGATGGTCACCTAATACGTATTCAGAGCAGAGTACGAAATCGTGCTTATTGACCTTACTGACAGTGTCCGTTTGATTATACGTGAAAAATTACATTTACAACATTTTTTCTCTTTTATTTCATCGTTGACCAATCTTAAAATTTTGGACACGTCAAGGTCTCCCTTTCTCCCCCTATCTCTCGGTACTTCAATTTCATTGCATAAAAACATTAGAAACTTTTATGATAAATTAATTTACTAAAGAAACACTTTAAAAAAGATCATAGAACAATATTCAATGAATGGCTGTGTTAGGGAAACAATGAAATTATTTTATGTAACAGTCATCGTTTAATTAACTTTCAATTTTAAACAACAAAAGTAGATAATCAAAGTAACCTGTATTATACAAGGTGATGCGTATATAAAGAATGGTTTATCATGAATGTGCTAAGTTATTTTTCATCTGCAACACAAACGATTCTACAGTGATAGCGAATATTAAACTAAGTAACTAAAACCGATATACATAAAAATCTAAAACTTAGACAATAAAAATAAATTGAAGGTTGGAGAACAACCATTTAATAAGTCAAAACTTAAGTAAAAATTAAAAATTTAATAACTTTTAATAATTAAAAGAAGTTAAACAAATCTTATGAGTATGATGATCTCGCTAGTGTAGTTATTTGTACTTTCTTTAGTTTAAAAAAAAGAAGAAAAAATGTGATGTTTTATTTAAAAGCACTGTTTTTTTTAATTAAAATTTCATTTAAATAACGTTGAATGAAGATTATTTTATAATTGTTCTTAATATCTACTTAATAATCATTATTTCTATCCAAATTCCTTATGTAATTTCCCTTTAACAGTTACTTGGTCTTTTGAATTAAAGAAAGATATATGTATTTCCATATAAAAACATACATAAACTTTATATATTACATATTCATTCAGATTCAAACTTTCAGAAATAGCTACACATTGCCTAACATTAAATATTTTTCAATCCGAATGCATTTTTATTTATTATTATAGAAATTGCATGAAGATATTTTTATGCTCTTTGCTATTAAAAAAGCAGGGAATGAAAAAAATACTTTTCTGTTACTGTTACAGTTATTTTTTAACACATTACTTCTTGAAAAAAATAATAAGTAACAAGTAACGCTGCAGAATTATGCAAGCTTTGATTCTTATTGATTAAATTTCTTATGGTTTTATGAGATTTAAGATATAATATTAAAAAAATTAGATAAGAATAAAAATAAGATTTAAAAAAATTATTTTTTGTTTAATTTGATTTAATATATGCGTTTAAAATACACATAAAAATTTTAATCAATTTTAATTCATTCTTAGTTATTGGGAAATTAACTTTCATGTTAACTGCAACCGTAATAAAGTATTTTAGTGCAAGTTATTTATGCAATTATTAACGAAAAAAGATTAATTTTATAAGCGATTAACTTAATTTAGTTAAAAAAATAACCTTGTATGTACAAGTATGTCTCAACTAACATAAAATAAAAATACATAGCAATTTTTTAGATTATCCGAGTATATATAACAGTCATGGATGGCAAAGAAACATGTAAATCGTGGGAGAATATTGATTCCGGCGAGGAAATCGTTATTTCCGGCATTGCTGGCAGATTTCCTAATTCAGATAACATGAATGAATTACGAGAAAATTTATTCAACAAAATTGATCTTGTAAGAGCAGATCATAGTCGATGGAAAATGGGTAATTAAATCATATTTATATTATACGGCATAATATTTTTACATTCATGCTCTATTGATTAAAATAAAATATATTTTACTTCTTCTGAACTAAACGTATTCATTCGTACAAATCTATTTTTCAACAAAATATTTTGTTGGTAAATAAATATATAATTAATAAACTAGAAGAAGAAAGCCATTTTACGGTCAAAGCTGGATCACAGTGCTTATTATAATTGTGTGAATTTTATATTCTGCGTATGTAGTCCCCTCATAAATCGCGACGCTGATGATTTTTCAGCATTGACGCATACATACTTACTACCGCAGTAATATATCACTTACTTAAATTGACAAGCAATCTAACAATTTTTGAAGCTTATAGCATCTTATTGAATCTTAATAATATGTTGAAAGACATATATTAAATTTAACGATGTAATGTTGAAGTAATGATAAATCTAGATCTGTGAAAAATAAGATTGCGAAGAATATTACCAGTTGGCGTTTCTTCCCGGTTTCCACTACTGGACTCATCAGTAAGGCATTGTAATGGAAACATACCTTAGACGCCTGTATAAGTTATTAATTGAACGGTAGTAAGTATGTATGCGTCAATGCTGAAAAATCATCAGCATCGCAATTTATGGGGGGACTACATACGCAGTATATAAAATTCACACAATTATAATAAGCACTGTGTTCCAGCTTTAAAATGGCTTTCTTCTTCTAGTTTATTAATGTTTATTAATTATACGGTTCTAAAAAGTTTCTAGTATTTGTTAAATATATAATTATATACCTCAAATTGAAATGTCGGAAGAATCTTGATTACCTATGAATTATTTACAGCTCGATTGCTTACATGTACGAAATATTATAACATTATTGCAGCGACATTATTATGAAAAATTGAAATATTATCTAAAACATTGCCAAAATATTGTAGCAATATTCCGCAAAAATTAAATATTATTGTTGCAACATTCTGTAATATTTCAACATTTAATCCAATTTAATTAATTGCTAACATGAATGATATTATGCCTGTCTAATCACTAAAAGTCATAAAGAAGTAGGGTTTTAGAAAGTTAACCAATCTTAGTTGAATATGAGAAGAATAGTCCACTATGATTGGTTAATTTTCTACAACTTGAGACCCCTACGACCATTAGTACTTCCATTACAAATCTTGTATTACTGCTTAGCACACGTTTCAAAATACATACGATAAAATTATGATTGAGAAGTGTGGAAACCTAGAACGCACACAACCAAAGAAAATTAAAGATTTTTAAGAGACGTCAACTCGTTTTTCGTTCGCCTTCTTGTGAACTTTCTGAATGTTTTCTTTTTACGATAAGAGAGTTCATCTCGTAATCATATACTAAGCCTCATATACTAAGATTGACAATTGATCTTGTTATTTAAATTACGAAATACATAAAACTTTCAATTTTTCAATGTTAAAAACAAAATATATAATATTTCTATATAAGCATTTTGCTGTAATACAAAATATAAAATGCACTTATATTTTGCTGTAATAAAAAATATAAAATGCACTTATATTACAAAAATTATGTTGCAAATAAAAGTATTTCAAATACATGCTCAATCCTGTTTACGTGAATATATATCCTTAGAGCATGAAGACATTCCACGTCGTATGGGTATTATCAATAAAGTAGAAAAATTTGATGCGGATTTTTTTGGATTATCTTTTGAGCAAACACACTTATTACCACCTGAAATGAGATTGTTATTGGAAAGTACTTATGAAGCAATTATCGATGCTGGCATCAATCCGAAGCAATTACGAGGAAAAAATACTGCTGTAATTATAGGGACATCTATAATTGCAGCACAAACGGATTTGTTGTATACAGAAACGGAGGTAAAAAAGAGATTGTATTATAAATGTAAACACATAAACACGCTTAAATTTTTTATGTATCTGTGCATGTATACACGCACACACACTTAGAGAGAGAGAGAGAGGGGGGAGGGAAGAGGGGAGGTAAAAAAAAGTTGCCGAATTAGTAACATTTAACTACTTAAGATATTTTCTATTATTATATATTCTAGTATATAACATTAGAAATTTTTTGTTGCTTGATGTTTCAAGCATCTGTTTTATATATCTAACTCATTATAAATTAATTTATTTTGTCTTTTGATAAAAAATACGATTTATCGTATCTTTTATCAAATCGTACGTTCTATAAAAATATCATGATATAAAGTACGTTGTATCTCAATAAACATACATTATGATATATTATACGTCCAAATTAGGAATTTACGAGAAATCAAGGTATAATAAATACAACGTACATCAATTCTGATAATTTTAGTTGTAATATCTAGCTAATAAACATTGTTATAATACTATACACATTCCTTTTTTTTTACATTATTTTCCATCCGATTCAAATTGTATTTGATAAACAGGAAACCATCTCAACCAAAATTATACGGAATTGATATTCGTTGAATCTCTTACATTTAGATCTCCTGTAAACACCTTACACAAATAAATAATATAATTATCATTTTTTTTATTTGAACATATCTTAATAGGATTCGAAACTGAAACCTCCGGATCATAAATCTTCTGTTACACATGAGGCACCATTTCTTTCATTTAATAACAAAATGTGTTTATTAATCTCGTATAATATTTTAACTATAAAAATGGTTGGTATACATTATTTGTATAACCCTTCTTTGACATTTTAAAGACGTAAATTATATCATTTTTAAACCTACTTTACATTTAATGAATGTTTAATACATCTTCATGTGTTTATTGGGATATGTATTATTAATGTAGTAAGGGATTACTGAATATTATTATTTATGTACGAAAATTATAACGGCATACATTCTGCAATGATAACAGTTAGGCGGTCTGAATATTATTGGGAGTCACAACTCTACAGCGGCAAATATGATTTCGTATTGCTTGAATCTGAAAGGACCATCTTATGTCATCGATACAGGATGCAGTACTAGTACTTATGCTATGGCATCTGCTTATGACTGTATCATGTCAGGCAAATGCGAAGACGCAATATTTGGAACTGCACATTTACTTTTTAAACCTAATATTACACTGCAATTTTTTCGGCTTGGTAATTCTGTTAAAATATTAACTTTATATATATTTTTATTGAGACATATTACTTACACAATGTGTTACGTATAAAATCTAGTTTTTATTTACAAAAAAAAAATAAACAATGAGCAATGTCATCTCAACGAAGCATCTTAAATAAATACAGTGTTCGTCAAAACAGAATATTATTACTTTATCATAGGTGACAATAATGTTTTGTAAACGTTTTCAAATGTATATCTTTTATAAGTCATATATTTTCGTTCAATAAACAGTTTTTTTTTATTAATAAATTACATCTATACTATTATTTATTAATAAGAAAAACTGTTTATTAAACAAAATATATAACTTATAAAAGATATACATTTGAAAACGTTTACAAAACACTATTGTAAAAATGAAATAATTTACGCCTTTAAAATGTCAAAGAAGGTCATTTAAAATTAAACCTTTCTTTTTATATATACTGGTTTTCAGCGTATTAAATCTGTTTTGTATTATGCAAATATGATAAAACCGAATATCATTATAATATATTATATATGATTACATAAAAATACAGAACATTAAAACGTTTATCTCTGGTATACTACTTTTATTATTATATCATTTTTAAACCTACTTTACATTTAATGAATGTTTAATACATCTTCATGTGTTTATTGGGATATGTATTATTAATGTAGTAAGGGATTACTGAATATTATTATTTATGTACGAAAATTATAACGGCATACATTCTGCAATGATAACAGTTAGGCGGTCTGAATATTATTGGGAGTCACAACTCTACAGCGGCAAATATGATTTCGTATTGCTTGAATCTGAAAGGACCATCTTATGTCATCGATACAGGATGCAGTACTAGTACTTATGCTATGGCATCTGCTTATGACTGTATCATGTCAGGCAAATGCGAAGACGCAATATTTGGAACTGCACATTTACTTTTTAAACCTAATATTACACTGCAATTTTTTCGGCTTGGTAATTCTGTTAAAATATTAACTTTATATATATTTTTATTGAGACATATTACTTACACAATGTGTTACGTATAAAATCTAGTTTTTATTTACAAAAAAAAAATAAACAATGAGCAATGTCATCTCAACGAAGCATCTTAAATAAATACAGTGTTCGTCAAAACAGAATATTATTACTTTATCATAGGTGAAAGTGATAATTTCTTAATCAAGACGGGTTTATTAAAAAGGAATGTCATATTTTATATCTTTCAGGTGTTTTATCACCCGACGGTTATTGCAAACCATTTGATAAAGCTGCTAACGGTTACGTGCGTAGCGAAACGGTGGGAGTGGCATACCTCCAAAAGGCGAAAAATGCAAAGAGAATTTATGCCTTATGTCGGAATATAAAAGTAAACTGCGATGGTTACACAGAAGAAGGAATAACACACCCGTCAGCACAAATGCAATATGATCTACTAAAACAATGTTATAATGAATGCGGAATACCGATATCAAGTTTAGATTATATAGAAGCACACGGTACTGCTACAAGCGTTGGCGATCCTGTAGAAATTCAAGCTATTCATAATATGTTTTGTAAAAATAGAGAAACTCCATTAATGGTCGGCTCCGTAAAATCTAATCTTGGTCATAGCGAACCTGCGAGTGGTTTTAATCAGATCGCTAAGGTTTGTGTAGAATAAGTAGCTTCTATACTTTCATCTATTATTATAAAATTTGCTTTCATCTTACACATAACAATATACAGGATATTTGAGAAATAATGATGAAAAATTTTGTCGCATAGTTGTAGAATCCACTAAACTGAGAAAAAAGGTCCTGTACCATTTTACAATTTTCGTAATAATTAATGAGATATAAATTTATAAAAATATCCAAATTCGATAAGCCCACCGTCAATTGCACTCGTTCGCCGTCGCTAGACACGCATTATTTGTAACAAGCGGCAATGATCGTCGCTAGACAATGTCCATATATTTATGATGTTATATACATATATGATATATAAACAACGCATACCTAGCGATGGCGAACGCGCGCGGCGCCCTTTTCATATTCAGTCGCGCGCTTGCATTTTGCAGTGGCCGGGCGAATTTGAAAATTTTTATAAATTAATAATTAGTTAACAATTGCGAAAATTGTAAAATGTAACAAAACTTTTCTTCTCGGTTTAGCCGATTCTACCCATACTTGTAACAAAAAAAATTTGTTATTACTTCTCAAGTAAAGTATATGCACTCTGTATATGCCTGTGTATATGCACACGAACATAAAACATATATTTTGTAAAAATTTATTGACAGGTTACATTTCGAAAGCACTCGAACACAATTGCTTTCCAAAAAACTACTAAAACCTTTCATCAAAAATTCGATATTTATTAAATTAATATGACATATAAATAATGTAATAAGAAAAAACTTATCAGTTATACATTATTTGCAATTTAACGAATAATTAAAAATTTTTCATTTTATAATATTATTATCCATTACTGAAGGCAATAATAGCATTTGAAACTGGCTTTGTTCCATCAAATATCAATTATACATCACCAAGGAATGATATAGATGCCCTGATAAATGGAAGTATACGAGTCGTCCAAGAACCAATCCCACTTCAAAATGGTTACATAGGAATCAATAATTTCGGTTTTGGAGGAGCCAATGCACATACGTTATTAAAGTGGAATGATAAACGGAAAATCAGTAACGGAGCACCAAATGATGACTTACTTAGACTCGTTGTATTATCTGGACGTACAGAAGAATCAGTGAACTTGTTTTTGAACGACGTTAGTGTAAATTTTTCAAAAACATTTTGATACTTTGTCCAACATCTAGAGACAATAGTGGCGTCCAGCAGAAAAAGCAGATTTGCAACCATTGTAAAACTTTTGAATATGATTGGCTTATACATTTAGATGTAATGAGGAAGTAAAGGCAAGACCAATTATATTAAAGAATTTTACAACATTTGCAAAGCTGTTTTCTCTGCTAAATGCAATTCATTATGTTTAAAACTTATAAACAAATAAAAATGTAATTACAAATATTCTCATTTTTAATTAAAGAATATTTTAATAAAAATTGTCACCATTTAATTTGTTGGCTTGTTTTAATACCGTAATTTTAATATCATTATTTTAGTTGTCATAATGTTTAGTTTGAATTTTAAAAAATTTACTATTTTAGATTGCTAATCATCCAATAGACGTAGAGTATATTCGCTTATTACACGATATATATGCAGATAATATAAATGGTCATCCATGGAGAGGGTACATTATATTGAATTCTTCCCAACAAGATTCAATAAAGGAAATTCAAAATTATGAAGGAGTGAAAAAACCTGTATGGTTCATATTTTCAGCCTTGGGTTCTCAATGGCCAGGAATAGGTAAATATTCAATATTTCATATTTAAGTAATAATATGAATATCCTAAATATGCCACAAAGTGGTGTAATCTATAAACTAAATTCTTTTTAGGTCACAGTTTATTAAAGTTTCACGTTTTCGCAAAAACGATAAGTAAATGTGAAGATATTTTAAAGCCCTATAATATAAGTGTCATAGACATTTTGACAAAAATGGAAAAAAAAATATGCGAAAACGCGTTAAATACTTTTCTTGGAATCGTCGCTATTCAGGTGAAGAATTTACAACCTTCCAAAATTGCACATAATTATATATATTACATATAATATATTTTTCAGTGAAACACATACTGTAAATCCAAATCTTTTGGATCCAAATCTTTTTATCGCCATCGTTATATTACATTAGATTCTGTAATAAACTGTGATTAAATTTACAGTTTAACCATTAATTTAATATTATAACAATAATAGGTGTTTTAAATATATCGTCTAACTGTATATTTAAAATTAATCATACATATTTTATTTGTAGATTGGATTAGTAGATCTTCTAACATCTTTAGGAATTACTCCAGATTATATGATTGGTCATTCTACCAGTGAACTTGGTTGCGCGTATGCGGATAAATGTCTCACTATAGAACAAACTATTTTATCAGCATATTTTATCGGTGTGGCATGTACCGAAAAAAGTATAATTCATTGCTCGATGGCGGTTGTCATTATTGACTACGATTACCTTAAAAATATATGTCCAACGGATATTGAAATAGTATGCCACAACAGTAAAAACAGTAGCGTTGTGTGTGGACCATCACAATCCGTTCAAAAATTTATGAAAGAACTACAGGTAAAATTAAAAATGACTTACATAAGTTAGTGGACGTTTAATAACTTACGTTTTTAGGGTATTGAAATGTTAAATTTGTTGCAAATGTTGCATTTCATTCATAGGTCAATAATACTTACGCGAAAGAGATCAACTGCAACGTACCGTTTCACAGTTCTTACGTCGCAACTGCGGAGAGTCAGCTTTTACTTAGTTTGAATAAAATAATACCACGTCCAAAGAAACGGAGCTCAAAGTGGATCAGCACTTCTATACCTCGCACCGAATGGTTCACTTCAGCATCAGAATTATCATCGGCGAACTATCATACTCGAAGTATATTAAACACAGTTCTTTTTTCACAAACAACGGTACTAATTCCAAGTAACGCCATGGTCATCGAAATCGCACCTGACGATGTTCTGCAACACGTCTTGACAGACTTACATCCAAACGTGACAAATATTATATTAAGTCGACGCACCGAACAAAATAACGATATAATTCTCCAAGGAATTGGGAAGCTGTATAATAGTGGTTTACAGCCTCAAGTTGCCAATTTATATCCACCGGTGGAATTTCCAGTTAGCCGAGGAACTCCTATGATTTCTCCATCAATCAGGTAATCGTAATCGTAAAATTTATATGAGATATATATATATATATAAGAAATATACATCATATATATTTTATTAATTATAAACACAATTATTAGATCGTCTTAATGTTTTTCTTATTGGTACAATTATTATATTTAATCATATAATTTAAACTAGTACATACTTATTTTGCATATAATATAATAATATATTATACCTTTATATATATATATATGTATATATGTATACGTGTTTAATTATTCACATATATGTAAAATTGAATTGTAATAAATCAGATGGGATCATTCCGAAAATTGGATTCTACCGAATAATGATAAAGATAAATTTATAAAATCGAGAGGAAGATACGTCAAAATATTACTTCAAAGTAAAGATTATGAATATATGAGCGATTATATCATTGATGGGAGAAATTTACTACCAGCAACGAGTTATTTGGGACTCGTTTGGGAAACTATTGGCATGATGAAAAGAGTACAGCATACAAACATATCGATAATATTCCGAGATGTAAAATTTATTCGTGCTACCCATTTGTCGAAAGAAGATGCTGTAGAATTATATATTGCAATACAAACAGGTACTTACAAGATGAGTTGTTTTAATTTTAACCAGGATTTTATCTAAAATTTCCATAAGGGTATTTACGTGTTTATTCTACTTTAAAATAATGTTTAAACATTTATTATTATTAAATTAATTAAAATGCAATTTTTAAAAAATATAATAGATCCCATGGATCAACGAATATTTATTATTTTTAATGTATTATTACTATAATAAAGATGAAGTTTTACCAACACACATACACACACACACACAAATAGATAAAAATGTTACAGATGGAAAATTTGAAATAACCGAAGGAGATAGCGTTGTTGTAACAGGTATG